TCTACAATTTCAGACCAAGCCCCACAGTCTTCAGAATGCGATCACTGGCAGAGCTGGCAAACTCTGTTGCAATGTACGCTCGAAAATGCAACCGGATGCTCCCAAACACGAATTAATTCACCTTAAGAATTCATTCGTAAAGTTTCTGCGTATTGGAAAGCTACTTGGAGTGCTGGAAAATTAGCTAAATTTCAGCGAGCCCAAGCAGGTGGTGCTCACTTTAAGTAGTTCTGTAACTAATCTGCTACAGCTAAGCTCTGTCTTGAACATATGTCTTTTTAAAGCAGCCCTAAGATGTGCTCTGCCCGAAATAACTCCAGTCCAATTTCACAAAAAAAAATCGTTGTTTGATGCTGTATTCCGTTTGGAAAAACTACCACACACAGGACATTGTTAGTCACGAAAGCTAAGTGACTATCTTGCTGTGACCTTAAAGACTGCTTAATATTTAATGGAACCGTTATAAAAAGTAAAGGCGTCGCTTTGTAAATGTATCAATAAATTCACATCAAATATTTTTTTCTTAAGAAGCTTGACAGAAAAAATACAAAACAGAGAGTTGAAAATTCCGTTTTCCAGTGTGTCTGATCAAAACAAAACGGAATGGATAGCAAGACTTACGATTTTGAACTTTGTTTCTGCTTTAGCTTTTCGAAGAATTTCTTTACTCCTTTCGCAATCACACCCAGCGCTGACCTGGTGCTGCTGCTGTCCTTTTCACTTTTAAGCTCGTAGCCATCTCTGTTAACTATATCAGTTCTGCGTCCCCTTGGCTCGACTGATCTTTTCTGTCGCAATACGCGGAATGCACCCACCCAGCTGTTTTCCGCACTCGCTTTTTTTACTTTATGCGCGCCTTTTCGGCGTTGTTTTTTTGTTATTGTATATTTGCGCGCTGGTCCATTTCGATCTGAAAGGTTATTTCGTCGATAACCGACGGCAAATAAATAACTGGAAAGCGAACAGTAGACATTTTTTTCCATGATGTTTGTTCAGTTTCAAACAAATAGCATTGCGCACCCGGGGATAGACATAACCTTGCGTTGTCGGAGACGTATGTTGGGAAAATGTACTCCACAGTATTGTATGTAAGCATTATGCCTTCGTTTTGAAGGTCAGAAAAAATTTATAAATTTTTTAAAATTATATATTTGGACCTGAATCAGAGACACACCGAGAAAAAAAATTTTGCAAATGATTTCAGTTCACTCAACTCGCAGATCTAGTAGCCGCCTTATAAAACTGTAGTGCTTATAGCAAACCACTGTCTGTAAATTAGTTGATTTGGGTCTGATGCTAAAGATTCAAAATGCTTCCGAAAACCCAGAAAAAATTTATATCTGTTTGCAACAACATGCACGGTCGGGTGTTTTTATGCGTTTTTGCATATATGTAAATTGCAAAAACGCATATTGGGAAGGGGCTGTGTGTGTGTGGTCGCACTTTTTGTCACCCACTTTCAACTCGAGACCCAGAAAAGCTAGGAGGGTGAAATTTTGGGGATATGTGCCTATACCATGCGCGACCCTCCCGTTTTAATTTCATTTCCCGCGGACGACTGGGTGCCGCGTACGGACGCTTTAAAAAAATATGCAAATTTTTTGGCGGGAAAGCTATCTCGAGAACCGCAAGAGCTAAGGAGCTGAAACTTTGTCAGGATACTCCCTGTGCATGTGCTAGCTAAAGATTTCAAACTCAGCTCCCAGGTGTGCGTGGTACTCATGTAAGAGCGTATGAAAGTTTTAGGGAGAAAATTCTTAACTCGGGTACCTGGAAAGCTAGAAAGTTGAAATTTTGAAGGGATGTCCCTCAACCAAGTACAACTCAAATGTTACAAAATCAGCCCCAAACTTTGCGTTGTACTCACGTAAGGGCATATGGCAGTTTCTGCAGGAAAATAACTAATTCGGTAACCAGAAGAGCTGGAAGGCTAATATTTTAAGGGGATATTCTATGTCCAAGTGCAACTAAAAAATTTCAAATTCAGCTTTCCAGACACGTGGAGTACCCACGTACGGGTATGTGAAGGTTTTG